CCAGATGATGATATACAGACGGCTTGGTATACGTTTAAGTCTTTCCTCTTTAACGTATCCCACCCCCACATCCCTCTTTCGCTAAAGAAGGGTGCCAAAGCGAAGCCACCATGGTTAGACTCAGTCGCACACCAGCTAATGAATAGACGGGCAAGATGCTGGCGGATCTACCGAACAGTTCTCTCAGAATGTACTTTTCGGCGTTATCAGGAAGCTTGGAATGCTTGCAAGAGTCATTTACGAGCTGCTAGACTTAGCTACGAGATGGAGCTGGCTAACAGCCTCCGCGAATCCCAAAAGATTCTTCGCCTACGTCAAAAGGCGTAGTAACGTTGGCTCATCTATCCCAGTGTTATTAGGCAGCGACGGCGCCACTGCCACCACTGATCACGAAAAAGCATGTCTACTGAGTGCGCAGTATGCCGGAACTTTTGTTCAGGATGAGCAATTGCCGCATCTTGACCTAGCACTGAGAGTCCACCAGGACTCCTGTTTAACACACGTCACAATTTTGGAGGCAAAAGTTCTCCATCTTCTTCAGGCTCTAAATCCTGCTAAATCCGCTGGGATGGATGATATTCACCCTAAGCTTCTGTACGAACTAGCAAGCGAGCTATGTGGCCCAGTGACGCGTTTGTTTCAATTGTCGCTTCGCAGCTGCTCCTTTCCCAAGGACTGGAAGGATGCTATCGTTTGAACGATTTTTAAAAAGGGCGACAAGCATCTTCCTGCATATTATAGACCAGTAAGTTTGATAAGCGTACTGGTCAAGGTATTGGAGAAGTTGGTCAGTGATGTGCTTGAAGACCACCTGCGGGAGTATGGTCTGCTCAGTCCACTGCAACACGGCTTTCGCAAGGGTCATTCCTGTATGACTAATTTGCTAGTTGCACGCGAATGTTGGGCGGATGCTTTGGATCGGGGTCATACAGTAGATGTCGTGTTTATTGACTTCTCCAAGGCGTTCGACACTGTATCACATTCTCGCCTTTCCTTGAAACTTCGGTCCTATGGAATATCCGGGGGTATACTAAAATGGATCACCACGTTTCTGGAAGGAAGAGAGAAGTGTGTTCGTGTCGGGTCTAGTCTGTCTTTCTGACAGTCGGTCCTCAGTGGGGTCCCTCAGGGTTCGGTGCTTGGCCCATTGTTATTTTCCTTGTATGTCAACGAGCTGCCCGAACTTTAGAGGTTTGCCTATTCCGGGAGCCCAGAGAGCGATTCCAGAAGACAGATCGAGTTGCAGGGAAACTTTTATTGGTTCAGCAAAAGATTCCGTTAGCTAGCTATAAATGAACGACACCGTGGACGCTCTAGCTAGGGGAACGAATCAAGCACAGCACACAGAGCAGTTGCGCGTTGCAACCGAAGCGAGCGCCAAGCAAAAAAAATGGCGATGAGCAAGTAAAGCATTCGAACTCAGCAAGCAGTTCAACAAACCACACCGGTTGCCTAAGTGTACAATTATAGAATTTTGGTTAGAATTTTACACAAGCAAACCGGGGAATCTCCAGACTGCTACATAGCCCTCTCCCAGAAGGGACTGTAAGCAGTCCTTCGATCTATGTGAGGACTGTCCGTCGCGGGCCAGCCTTCTGCGAGACCAGGTTGTGAAACCCGATGCAGCTGCTGGGGGAGAACCATGCAATCGGACCCTAGCGGGCTCCCACCCGTGTCCTCCCTACGGTGTCGAAACAGTAAAAAAAACTGTTTGTGGGGGGACAGTTAATAAGGTTCACGTAGGCAGTTGAGCAGGAAGTTCGTTCCACTTGCAGTTGACGTGCGGGGATCCAGCGGAAAGAGAAACCGAGGTGCAACCAACCGACGGTGTATATGGAAAGCAAAATGAAAAAAGCAGCATAAATGCATAGCCATACACAAAAGAGTGTAAAGCGAAAACCGTGCAAAGCTGTTTTTGGGTTTTCAAAAGGTTTTGCTCTTTTTTGGTAGTTTCTAAAGGTTTTGATCTTTTTTGTGGATTTTCAAAAATGTTTGGTAAGAGCAGAAAATTTCGAAGGCACGTTCTACGTAAAAAAGTAAGTGCGAACGGAGTCCGAAAAACGAACCTTAGGTTTGAGCTTCCTACCGCGTTGATTGAGAGTAGGGCGGGTAGGAGTGCTGTCGGTTGTGGTTGTCGGTTCTGCTGGAGCGGACTGACTCGTCTGAGGTTGCGGTGCCAGCTGTGATGGCACAGGCTGTGAAGGTGCTTGTTGCACCGGCGAGTCAGACTTGTCGAAGAATGCTGGCTTGAGTCGATCAATGGTGATCGTCTCAGTGGTGTTGCGTCGTGGCTTGCTTATGTCGGGATCAGCTTGTTGGGCAGCAGCCATGGCGGCTAGATCAATGTTGGTGCTAGGCGATAAGCTGATCTGTTGAATGCGTGAAAGTGCATCCGCGACGGGATTGAGAGCACCTGAGACATGACGTACGTCTGTCGTAAACTGAGAAACGTAGTCTAGGTGTCTAGTTTCCCGCGGCGAGTACTAGTCCGTTGTGCCATTGATTGCGTAGATCAATGGCTTGTGGTCGGTGAAGACGGTGAAATGTCGACCTTTGAGGTAGTGACGCAAATATCGGATACCTAGGTAGATAGCTAACAGTTCCCTACCGAAGGTGCTGTAACGCGATTCGGCAGGTTGTAAGCGCTTTGAGAAGAAACCTAGAGGTATCCATCGACGGTCGATGAGTTGTTGAAGAACTGCACCGACGGCAGTGTCTGATGCGTCAGTTGTCAGAGAGAGTGATGCAGACGTGTCTGGATGGGCGAGAAGCGCTATGTTGGAGATAGCGTCTTTGAGCTTCTCGAAAGACAATTTAGCGTCGTCTGGAAAGTGAAAAGACCGTTGTTTACCGCGGAGCAAGTCAGTCATTGGTTGAACAATGCTCGCGCAGTTAGGTATAAAGCGTCTGTAATAGTTGACCAGGCCAAGAAATCGGCGCAACTGCTTGAAGGAACTGGGAGCAGGATAGTCCTTCAGTGCCTGGATTTTGTCTGGCAGGGCTTCAATACCAGAGGCGGATATGCGGTGGCCAAGAAAGTCGATGGAACTTTGGCCAAGCTCGCATTTATCGGGGTTGACGGTAACCCCATGCTGCGTCAAGCGTTGGAAGAGTGCGTCGAGGTGACGAAGATGTTCGTCATTAGAAGAGCTGGCGATAAGAATGTCATCTAGATAAGGATAAACGCCTTCGAGTCCTCGCGTTACCTCATGAATGAAACGTTGAAAAGTTTGGGCAGCGTTGCTGAGGCCGAAAGGCATTCTGAGGTACTCGAATAGGCCGAATGGCGTGATGACTGCTGTTTTAGCAATGTCATCTGGAGCGACAGGTATCTGATGATAGGCGCGAATTAGGTCGACTTTGCTAAAGATAGACTTGCCAGCTAGAGCTGAGGTCAAGTCGTGCATGTGCGGGATAGGGTATTTATCCGGGACGGTAACTTTGTTAAGTGCCCTGTAGTCACCACAAGGGTGCCAGTCACCGGATTTCTTAGGCACCATGTGTAATGGTGATGCCCATGGACTTTTAGACGGGCGGATGATTCCCAGTTCGAGCATTTGCTCGAATTCCGCCTTTGCAGCTTTGAGCTTGTCCCGGGCTAGTCGGCGAGGGCGGGCCGAAACAGGTGGGCCCTTAGTGCAGATGTGATGCGTGACGTTTGACGTCACAGGAGGCAACTCGTTCAGGACGCGAACGAGTTTAGGGTGCGTGGTGAAAAGTTCTAGAAAAGGTTGTGAAGCTTGAGGTAGGACACGAATGGGAGTGATAGCAGCCACGTTGGCGCTAGTCCCGATAACACTGAGCTGTGTCCTAGAGTCGATAAGCTTCTTCCTTTTGGCGTCGACGATGTGGTCGAAGCGTTGAAGAAAGTCTATGCCTATGATGGCGAAAGACACAGAATCGATTATGAAAGGCCAGCGAAAAGTTCGCCGGAGGCCTAAGTTGAGCGTTAGCAACTTTTCGCCGAAAGTTGCGATTGGTGTGCCATTGGCGGCACGCAGCTTGGTCGGCGATGGCGAGACGACCTCATCTGAGCTACGGGGTATGACGCTAACTTCGGCACCAGTGTCGACTAGAAACTCGATGCCGGAAGTTAAATCCCTAACACGGATGAGGCGACTTTGGTGTTGGCCGGTCGCGTCCGTCGCCGTTACAGACCGGCCGAGGTTACCCTGCTTCTCGGCAAAGTTGCAAGGTTTGACGCATTTACGAGCTGCGGTACCAAAACGCTGGTGGTACCAACAGCTAGCTTGCCTGTTGTTAGACTTAGAACGTTTGCAGGGCGATTTTGATCGGCTAGGACGACGACGGTCCATAGTAAGCTGCTGGACCTGGCGACTAAGTGTCGCGACTTGTGTTTGCAGGGCTTCTATAGTTGACTGTAAGCCAGTGATAGAAGTGCCCTGGGACGCGACGGCATTTCTGTTGCTGGCGTCGGCTTGTAACTGTGATCGTTCAATAACTCGATCCGCTAAGTCTGCTAGTTGAGTGAGCGAAACGGAGCTCACTGTAGCGAGAATCGCTTGTGTGTTTTCCGGTAGCCGTTGTCATCATCATCATCATCATCAACAGCAGTACATCAGCCATTTGAACTGATTCTTCGCTGCCATACAACCATGAGGACTTATGAAATAAAGAATAAGAAGAGGGAGAGAAGGGGGACTTACCTGAAAACCTTAATGCCCTAAGCAAACATTCAGGGTCAAGGCGCCTACACCTTGTGTTAACAACATTCCGTCACAAACAGCTGGCTATCGTGCAAAGATAAGGCGGCATCGGCGAGACAGCTTCCTTGCGGCTTTCACTGCCACGCGTCATAATCAGCCATTACCCCGCAGATAACTCAGCACCAAACACACTTTAAACAGACAATCCAATTAGGAGACGGCAGCAGACGCGCCACTGGTGTCGGTTGCGAGCCATGTCCTGTAAAGTCTCGAGCCAAGCACAAGGTGAGTCACGTGGGCTCCAACCCGGAAGGCGAGACGGACCAACGGCACCGTAGCCGTTGTAGCCATAGTTCGCGAAGTAAAGTCTCGTCCATGGTTGATGAACCAAGGAGTTGCTGCATCTCGCGTAGCAGGGTTGAGGGCAGTTTGTCGCCCAATTGCAGATCCCTGAAAAGCTGCTGCAGGCGAACTTTCTCAGAGGGCATAACACGCTTAATCGTGGCCTCCTTGAGAGCCTCATAGTGGTTTTCGGTCTGAGAAATGATAACGTCACGAACCTGCGTTGATATCTCCTTGGGGAGATAGGACAGGAGCTTGCAATACTTCGCGTAGTCGGAAGTGATTCTGTGGTTGTAAAACTCAGCCTCAAGAAGAGCAAACCACAAAAGAGGATCCATGTCCCAAAAAGGTGGAACAGAGAGAGATACAACACTAAGTAGAGACTCTACGTTATGGCCTACAGATTCCATGGTTTAAAAGAATGACGCAAAAAATAGGCTACCGTATGCAAAAATAAAACCGGAAAATATGAAAAATAAATGGAACGAGCTCACCAGAGAAAAGTTCCAAATATCCGGCGCGGAGGTTGATCCGGATTCGGGGTCACCAATTTAGAGGTTTGCCTATTCCGGGAGCCCAGAGAGCGATTCTAGAAGACGGATCGAGTTGCAGGGAAACTTTTATTGGTTCAGCAAAAGATTCCCTGTTAGCTAGCTATAAATGAACGACACCGTGGACGCTCTAGCTAGGGAAACGGATCAAGCACAGCACACAGAGCAGTCGCGCGTTGCAACCGAAGCGAGCGCCAAGCAAAAAAAATGGCGATGAGCAAGTAAAGCATTCGAACTCAGCAAGCAGTTCAACAAACCACACCGGTTGCCTAAGTGTACAATTATAGAATTTTGGTTAGAATTTTACACAAGTAAACCGGGGAATCTCCAGACTGCTACAGAACTGCTGGAGGTACCATCTCTCATGTTTGCAGATGACCTAAAATTTTGGCACCTAGTGTCTGACTTCGATGGACCCCAGATTCTGCAACGGGCCCTCGATCAACTTTGGGACTGGGCTGCTCTGTGGCAGTTGCCCATAAACTATGCAAAGTGTTCCATCTTACGAGTAGGGCCAAATAGCCCCCAGACGCGTTATTTTCTTGGCGGTAATGAACTCCACCATGTTACCCAATTGGTAGACCTAGGGGTCACATTGTCTTCAGAACTGAAATCCAATGAGAACTGGAGGAAAGCGACCTGCAAGGGTTTCAGAATGTTGTGGATGATCCGCAGGGCATTCGGGACCATCATGGGCGCTATGTTTGTTAGGTTATTCTCAGCGTTTGTCAGGCCACACTTGGAATACTGCATCCAGGCTTGTCCACCTTGCTTAGTCAGGGGCAGGATGTCAGTGGAGAGAGTGTTGAGAGATGGAACCAAACTGGTCCATGGACTGCGGAACCATTCTTACACAGAAAGACTACTTGCGCTGGGAATGTTCTCGATGCACTATCGTCAACATCGAGGCGACCTAGTCTTGACCTATCGTATACTTACCGGTAAAATCGGACCCGATTTATCCGGGCTTTTCCAACCGGCTCGGCTTCCATCACTTCGAGGTCACTCGCTGAAGCTACACAAACCTCGATCGGATGGAGTCCGGGCGGACTTGCGTTTATCACGTCGAGTGGTGGATTCCTGGAATGCACTGCCCGAAAGCGTGGTATTCGCACCAACAGTGAAAGAGTTCGAACACCGACTCGACGCTCTTGGCCTTCAATTCTTAACATTCCCCTTCACGTCCTAGTTTATTCGTTTTATTGAATTATTAAATCTTTTTTTTTCTTGATGCTCTTATTACTTTCGTACTTCTCTTTCTTATTTCACGTGACCGGTGCGGCGGGGACTGCCAGTGCAGGTCGCGTGGGTATTAATTGGTTGACCATGGTGTGATTCGCGCGCGCTGATCTGACTCTTCTGGATTCCAGTTATCGCGGACGAATAATACCCTGGATCAACGACGCGTCACGGAAGGAACATTCACGGGGATTTATCCTACTGTTCCGGTCCCACTTGAACTTGAACTTCCCGGCACAGGCTTCCTTGCTAGATGCTCAGCTGTTACTTACTCATCTGTGACACCTAATTAAATGTAGTTCAACTCTCTAACTGGCTTCTCCTGGCTCAGGCTTTCTTAGCTATATTCCAGTAACACGCCTGTATGGTTTGATTACCTGCGCGTCGCTGCGTCTTATCCTCTTATGCTTTGCATTATTTACCAGTCGAAATGTATGCTTACGTTCCTTCTGTTTGCTGTCCTTCCATCATAAAAGCTTTCTTAGCTCTCTTCTGTGGATCAAACATAACTTACGTGGGCTTTTCAAAACTGCTCCTAACCTCTCCTTTCTAGACGTTCATTTATCCGTTGCTCGCTCCTCGCTAAATGCTCAGTTGTCACTTACTAGTCTATGATACCTAATTCATTGTAGTTCAGCTCTCTCACTGACCTCCCGGCTTAGGCTTCCTGTTAAAATCCATTAGCAACCCAACGTGGGTTGATTATCTGCGCGTCGACGCGTCTTATCTTCTTATGCTCTGAACTATTAAACAGCCATGTTGTATGCTTGCGCTTCATCCGTTCGCTGTCCTTTCTTGATGAAACCTTCCTCAGCTTTCTTCGACGGAGCATACATGACTCATGTGGTCAGCGCACAGATGCCATTTAGGCTCTCCTTTCCTAGCGTTTATTTACCCATTGCTCGTTGCAACATTTGTGATACCTGCTCATGTAGGAGTCCAGGTCTTTCACTGGCATTTTCCGGCTCAGTCTACCTTAGAACTAATATCTTAGCGCCCTAACAACACCCAGTATCTGCGCGCCTCTGACTCATGCTGCGACGTCCTTAATGTATGTATGCATTCCGCCTGTTTAATGTCCTTTCTTCATGTTAACTTTTTAGCTTTCTCCTGGCACGTCTTCCTAACTCATCAAGTCAGCGCACAGCCGCTCCTTGGCCTCTCCATTATAGACGTTCTCCTATATTGCTATAACGTGTTTGACTTTTTCACCTACTGACTTTCCCTGGCTCTAACCAAATTAGTATTATTCCAGCACCCTAGCTTGAATTGTGTACCCACGCGCTGCCGTGATTCAGCCTTTTGTGATGTGACTCCCACAGTAAACTTAATGGATGCTTGCATTCTTCTTGACTGCTTTCCTTTCTTCATTCAACCTTTATAGCCCGCTTCTGGCGACCTTCCTTATCCCACCCGGTTAGCGCACATCTGCACCTAGCTAGAGGCTCGGCTGTCACTTTCTCGTCTGCGACACCAAATTACTTGCAGATCAGTTCTCTCACTGGCCTCTTCCGGCTCAGGCTTCCTTATCTATATTCCATTAGCAAGCGAGCATGGTTTGTTTACATGCGCGTCGCTGCGTCTTATCCTCTTATGCTCTGCACTATTTACCAGTCGTATGGTATACTTACGTTCCTTCCGTTTGCTGTCCTTTTGTCATGAAACACTTTGTAGCCCTCTTCTGTAGAACAAACATAACGCGTGTAGTCTGTGCAAAGCCGCTCCTAACGTCTCTTTTCTAGACGTTCATTTATCCGTCATTCGCTCCACGCTAAACGCTCAGTTGTCACTTACTCGTCTATGACACCTACTTATTTGTGGTTAAGCTCCCTCACTGACGCCTCTCGTCTCACGCTTCCCCAGTTTTATTTCATTAGCACCACAGCATGACTTTTCATTACCTGCGCGCCGATGCGTCTTAGCCTCTTGTGCCCTGAACGATTTAACATCCCCATTGTATGCTTTTGCTTCCCTCGCTTGCTCTCCTTCCATCACGAAACCACTATTAGCTTTCTTCCGTCTTGCAAGCATATCCATGTATTCAGCGCAAACCGCAATTTTGTCTCACATTTCTAGATGTTCCTTTATCCTTTACTCGCTGTAATTTCAAACATTTTTACCTGCAATCCTTCAGCTCTCAGGTTAGCTGTCCCTGGCTCTATCCAGCTTTGTACTATTATCTTAGCACCCTAGCTGCTGCGGTTAGGCATCATTTTCTTATACCTTCATCAACCTCAATGCACGCTTGCATTCTGGCCATTCGCTGCCCTTCGGGCAATCAACCGTTCTTAGCTTTTAAGTTTATTATTTCTCTCCTCCGGTCAGCACACAGCCGCCCGTTAGCTTTCCTTTGCCAGGTGTTCAGTTATCATTTATTTGCTACTAGGTTTGTAACACTTACTCATGTCTAATTCCAACAGACTCATTGGCTTTTCCCGAATAAGCATACCCTAGTACCATCTTCTCAGCACCCTAGAGTGACTCGCTTCTCTGCGCAACGCTACGTATACAGTTGTTCAGCTAGTTCGCTTTCTTTTACCTGAGCTTTGTTACTTCACATCTTTCGATCACTCTTTTCTCACCCAGTCAGTATATCTGCTCCTTAACCAATCTTTGGTAGGTGTTCTGTTTCCGATTTTGCAGCAAAGGTTTCGACACTTACTTATTTAGGAGGTCAGCTCTCTCACAGGTTTTTTAATCTCATTCGGCCATAGCACTACTCAATTAGTACCCTCGTGTCGTCTTTCTGTCTAGATCCCGGGAACAGTTTACTTCGCGCGTGAGTCCTTTCCATCCGCTGATTTACCACCAGTTGACGTTTGCATCGCTTTCGTCGCAAGCTATTTATATCTTCACCTTCTTATTGTGTGTGCGCTCTATCGAAGTAGGCTTGCTACCAGCTGCTCATCCGTCATTCGATCGCAGCTGGTCTTTGAATGCTGCTTTCTGCATTCCCACGCAATAGTTGCATCATAGCAAACCGATACTACGTGGTTTGCTTAACGGCACAACGCTCTGTAAACAGTGTAGATGGTAGCAATATACATATTCGGCCATTGATTTCGTAAAACGTTCAAAAGACACTATCAGCACAAGCATTGTTACACAGTGTACATCATTTTGTCTCCATCTATATGTTATAACATAGGACATTAACAGTGACTTTTCCACGCCTGTTCTTTGCGGCGTTGGTTGTCTCTCACCTCCCTTTTTCTCCGAGATCCAGAACTGCTTCGGGATCGGGGATTGGATCGAGAAACCACTTTTGCCCGGGGCAGGACATAATAACCCACAAGGCCCTACAAAGAACACTGGCTGTACAACAAATGGATACAGCTACACTCACTACCACGACCTTTGTCCAGTAATGAAAGCTGGACACGATGCACTCACATTCCTGAAAAGTATACATAGCCTGAAAACTCCAGACACAAGAAACTGACGTTTCGCTCATTTGGACACTCACAGAGACGACTCTTCGTGAATCTCCCATCCTCGAATAGCCTCAGAGATTATGGCGGCCCTTACCAAGCTAAATGATTAACTAAGAGAGGAAATTGGACGTTCTTTGATTGCGGATAACCGAGTGTTAAACCAGTCGGTAAGCTGCTCTGCCAGTCGTACATTAGTGTACAAACGGATTTCGGACAGTGTTCTAGGACTTGACGGGTTTGCGCCCGGCAAGCGTTTTCCCTATAAAAAGCTACAAATGTACGTTTAAAAACAATGCGACTTGGCGGATGTGACTCCGCTGAATATAGCCAC